ACACACGCAGTCTCTTCTGCAAAGAGTAAGCAGTGATGTAGTCAACCAGCTGGAAGCCAGCTAAGTGGAAGAGTATTTCCAGGCAGAGCCTTAGGAAATCTATTATTTAAATATTCTGTATAATTCCTTGCTTTTGCACTTCAAAAACAAAGCTGAAAGGGTTCAAGAAAGCTCTCCACAAATTGTCTAATATCTGGAAATCCCGTATTAGAGGAAGTTTCTAGAGACTGCTATGATTTCTCTGGAAGGAGATGAGTCTCTTCAAAAAATAATTTGAGGGAAACATTTCTGGTGTCTGAGAGCTCATATATGACAGACTGAGATAAAAGAAAATGGATCTGGGGTTAAGCACAACACAAATTCTAATTTAAAAAACCCATGCTTTTCTTTTAACAATCTGGGTCATTAACAATTGGATCTGCTCATTTAGGACATCATTTTATTAACAGCGTCAGCATCATTTGAAGTCCTTAACAAGAGTCTGAGGGGTTTTTCCACTGTCGTTCCAACCAGATGTTACAAACCCAACACAATACTGATGCTTGTGCTATGTGGGTCAGGCAAGGTGATAACTGTATCAGAACTGGAGGAGATTGTTTCCGTACCCAGAGGGCCACACAGCTTTCAAAGGACATCCTCCTGAACGTTAGCAGAGGGAGGATACTGCCACGAGTCTACCACCTTTGTGTGTATGCAGATTGGATTAAGAGATCTCATAATAAAGAACATTCAGACTGCCTTGCCTCTCACTCCAGCTAGCTCTTACTTTCTCGCAGGGCTTTACCTGTCAAAAACCCAGGCAGTATCACCTTAGAGGAAGCATGCTTGCTGCAGGGTCTCCTTAGAAGTCCCCACGCTGCATGTGGGGTCCCACCAGCTCCCTGGCCATGGCACAGATCAGGCTACACAGGACGTGAGGACATCCCGCACACCCCAGTAACACTCGGGAGGCCTCGGGTCCCACAGCCTGCTCCAGACAGAGGAGGAGCTGTGCTGGATCTCTGTGACCCAGTTATGGTCCATGTACTTCTAAGAATAACCTCAACATCAAGCGAGGAGAATTTTCTTCTCCCATCCCCATAAACATATCCCTTACTTTCATTACATTTTTATTGAGACATTTTTATTGAGTCATCCCTCAGCACAAGCACCAAACAAACCTTGAAGAGTCTTGAATTTCCCTAGCATGCACCCAGCTAGGAACACACACACGTTTCTCTGCCTCAGACAAGCAGGGCAGACACAAAGAGGAGTGCACTCTGTAGGAGGGATATCCGGAGCGGCACAGACCGGGCAAACAAAGGCAGCAGAGCACAAGGCACAGGATGAGAGCTTCCTCTTCCATAACTGGGCTGCTGAGTGAGACCAAAAAACTGCAGAGACGCCAGTGATGCCAAGCATCTTTTTCCTTCATCCACTCACGTTTGATAATAACAATCAGCAAAGTTTGCATTCATAAAAGGCACAGATTGATCACACGCCCTGAAAACACAACCTTAGCAGCCTTTGTTCAAAGCAGGAATCCCTACACGGATAATAATACAGATCTTCAAGGAGAAAAAAATGGGGCTTATCGCAAAATATTTCAACAGACCCTTAGCTACAGCAGCACTAGTGGGCGCAGCTATAATTACAGCAAACCTACATAATGCGTCTGAACTAGCTTAGCCCTTTCCCTGCGAGCAGAGGAGCTGCCACATCAGTAACTCCGTTGCTAGGGCAACTGCTTACTTTCCATATCAACTGCAAACGTGTTGCTATGGAGACGCATATACAAGAAAAATTCCTCTCCACAGCCAAGGACCAGATGGCAGGGAAGTCAGAGAAGTCATGGGCTGAGGACTGTGCTAAACGGGACACACACTAGAGGACATTTAGATCTGTGTGCTCACAATAGGATTAATCTGAATGACTGAATTCACAAGTCCAGCAGTATAAACAAAGCCAGGGAACTCCTCTTGTGCTCCCCATCATGTGACACTTTATGCTCCGGCCAACTATTATTAAACTGCTGAGCTCAATGCAAAGAGGTTTGCACAATCAAGGGCTCAGCGTTTTCCCTTCTCCAGCCCTCCTGCCTGCCTCAAGCCAGCAGCAAAGTTACACGCGGTCACTGTCGCCTTGCCCAGGGAGCCCGATGGCACAGCAGCTCTGTGCACTGCAGCAATACATGAGCACAGCTGGGGATAAAACATCTGCTCCCCCAGAAGATCCAGAACAGGACAAGCTGGGAAGTTCTTTCTGTTGCAAGGATCTCACATTAGGAAATGCGAGCATTCACACACATACAGAAGGAGCTGTAGGCTATTAAATACATATTTAGCCCATGAATATAAATGAGCAAGCCCTAGACTGAGGGAACTACTATGTAGAGGAAATCCAAAAAAGAATTAAGTGTTCAGCAGAACTTTTTTTAGAAAAACCATTACCGAAAGGCTATACAAACAAACAGTGGAAAGCACAACTCAGAGAGGAAAGCTTCTAGCTTTCCAGTGTGTGTCAGTGCACATCAGCTAGCAAATGCCTGCAATTCCCAGCACTGATTAACTCCTTCCCTGCACTCCACATTTCGGAGCCCAGCTTGTTAGCATTTCAGAGATGCCATTTGCCAAATGTTCTTTGTCACATAAAAACAGTAAGACAAGCACACTTTAAACCTGTAACTTGCAGAATGTGGCAACAAACTGGAAGAAGTGGCACGAGATGATTCCCTGTAATGGAGAGTTAACCCAAGCCCGAGGTCCCAGGGCCCCATGAGATTTGCAGGCTGCTGTCAGCAACAGAGTTGCTTGCTCTAAGGCACTCTAACTAACTCTGGAGGTGTGTGAGAGCACATGAATGTCTTTTCAAAGCCAGCAGTTGGAGGTTAGTGCTTTCCAAGTCCACAATTAGCTGTCAGGCACCTGATTCAGCAACCCGCTCCCAGTGCCAGCTCTGCACTCCCGTCCCCACCTGCCACGTCCCTTGGCCAGGACGCGAGTTAAGCGACCTGACTTTGTGCATTTTAAGTTTCAGATTCTCTTCTCAATTACCTTAATGCTGGCTACCAGCAGGGTGACTGCATAGTTATTAAGGGCTCAGGAGCACGAAAAGATGGAAGGAATTATTTTTCATATCCTATGCTTTTCTAGGGAAATCTAAAACCCCACCTCGTTACTTACACAGGCAAGAGCTCTCCCCACACCTTACTGTCTCGCTGTGTAACCATGGCTCTAATCATGAATTCAAGATGTAGGTGACTACTCATGTATTGTGCTTCTCCCCTTCCCCGTGGAGAAGTGCTTCATGGTATGGTTCCTGTGATCTTAGAAGGCTGCGGGTATTTGACAGGTATGCATGAAGACAAGTTCCTCGTAGGAAGGAAACTGTAATTTAAATAGTCAGCCTGTAAACAAAGGAAGGAGATAGAACAAACGGCAGCACTAAACACATGCCTTGCCAGTTATGATACTGGTTGTCTTTTTTAACATGTGCCGTGTGTTAAGGTTTCTTATGGCCTGGGACAGGATCATAAAAGGTTGGTGTGGCCCTTGCTATTATAGTCTCGCTTTCAAACAAGAATTTGAGGCTCTGGCTTACACGAAACAAGATCCAGTTCAGGAACAGGTTTTTTAATCTCGTACACAATCGTTCACAGCAACGAATTTATAAAAATACCAACATACAGCATGTGATCTCCAATATGTGGACAGTGGATTTCAGTGAATGACATTGGAAAAAAAAGAAAAAAAAAAGAGTTTAAAAAGTCATTTAAAAAAGTAAAGCTGCAAGAAAAAGCAAATAAAGTAATCTTAAATAAAAAGTTGTTAGCTTAGGGTAATGTAAGACTCTTCATCTCAAAAATACTTTCTACTCCAGAGCATTTAAAGTTAAATCGCACCCAAACTAGGGAGAACAGCACCACCAACAGAAGTCTCGCTCCAGGGTAACCAGTTACAAGACTATCACAGCACTAACTTAACTGAAATACAGCAGCTGAGAGCATCTATTATTTCTGCCAGAAAAAAAAAAGTGCTCCCTTTCTGATCTTCAGCCAACTGTAGAGCAGCCAGCGACGTGATTCTACCTGCTATTTAGTTCACCAACCTGTGGGAAGGACTGTGAAATTAATCTGCAGGCTGGTATTTTTATCAGTATGCTCATACTTTGCCAAAGATTCATCCCAGATCGCAGGTTCTGGAGCCCGCCCCCTCCAGAAAATGCTATCTGCTCCCAGTCTGGTTTATGCAATAGAAGGTTATGCAAAGTCCTGCCTCCGCGGCGCGGCTCGTTTCCCCATTCCCTTGCACACAGCCTCTTCCTGCAGATGCAGCTGAGGATTCAGCAATGAAACCAGACAGCAACAGCAGAGATCCGAAAGCAACAATCTGCTCCCCAGACTTCTGCCACTGCACTGTTCTCAGAAACGGCAAAACTCCGGAGAGAGAACGGCTGAGTTTCTGGTAACTTTCACCTCTGATGCCAGACCTATCTGCTCTGCTTCAAGAGTTTCTACCCGTAAGAGAATGAAGCTTCGCCCTTACAATTCAGTACTACTTCTGCTCATTTAAGAAAAAAAGAAAAAAAACCTTCTTTTCTGAGTACAATACAGATTGGGGAAAAAAAGAGATGGCCTCTTACGTAAGGCATACCCTTTCACTATATGTTTGTGTAAGCCAAGAACAGCAAGCAGCCTATTTATAACATGATTACATTCATCTAGTAGAGCTGGAAACCATTACCACAGCACGGTAACTAAAAACAATATTTAACCACTATGCATGAAGACACCAGCTGGGGAGCAAAGAAAACACACATACCGACTGCTTTCTTACTGATGTCTAGACAATGAATTTAATAAAATCAGAATGAGCCATGCTAAAGAAATGCTGGTTTTCTGAATGTAATGAACTGCATTACCAGGGACAGCGTTGTGTATTCTACATTTTGCAGTTATGAATACGTTCTGGGATAAGCCGGTGAGTTTTATCACAGACAGGTCTCCACAGTTGCAAACTTACCTGACTTCTGTCTTTGTCCACTTTCTTAAAACACTTATTCAAGGACAGATTATGCCTCACAGAATTTTTCCATCCAGTGGGAGCGTTTGCAAAATACGGAAAGTGTTCTAAAATCCAGTTGTATATATCCTTTACGGGCAGTCTTTTGGTTGGCGAGTCCTCGATGGCCATAAATATGAGGCAGCTAAAGGAGTAAGGAGGTTTGCAGTTGGGGTTCTGCTTGGCATCGTAGGGCATGTCCGAGTGGGCGGGGGACGGAGGCGTGTCATCACCGATGTCCTGAACGGGGCTGACGCTTCGTAACACCGAGTCCCCAAAGCTCTTCAGCAAGTTCTTGCTCTCGTGTAACCAGTTCAAGTTAGTTAGTTCTTCATCTTCCATGGCCCCTTTATCTAATCTGATGGCAGGCAAAGAGAAATCTAGGTCCTCGTCATCGTGAAGTGCCTTTGACAAATCGCTATCTTGGTACCGCTGGCTCAGTCCGCTGGGAACACTGATTCCTGAGCCCTCCGGCTTCTTGCTGGGCGGCATGACTGGACCCATTGAGGCAGAGGCTCCTGGGAGTCCCACACCGGGGGGAAAAGAAACAGAAAGTTATTAGCTGGTAAAGGTACCATGTAACATTCTGACAGCTTTTCCCCACCAGCTGCTTGGCCTCGTGCCATCTGTTTTAAAAACGACAGACCCACATTAAAGCCCACTCCCAAACGCTGGGTAAAATAACCCGAAGTCAGGGCAAGCAAAGAACTTTCAACGCATGGAATGATACGATAATGCCAATATGCCTCAGTTCTCCCTGTACTTGAAGCCCCACACAGGAAATCTTAGGGACACACTCCTTTAATAATGAATATGTGTATCAAATCATTGAATACTCCGATCATATCACTTTAATAAGCATGTTAATTTAAAAAAAAAAAAAAAGAGGGGCTTAGGAGCAGTTGCTTCAGATTAAGTTCAGCTGTTTCAGTCTTGAGGGCAATACAACAGCCCTGTGATAGAGGCACTGGCTGAGGGCTCACACAGACAGGCACCAAATCCAACTACAGGCACTGCTGCAGCAGAACTGAAGAATTAGAGCAGAACTTGCAAAGCAAAACAGGAGGAAGGGAAAGGACGAAGGAAAGCAGTACACAGTAGCTTTAGGACCAGGGCCAATACACAGGGAAACAAGCACCAGAGGAATAGAGCACTTTAGAAGTGTATGTAAACAGAGAGGGCTTTAATCTGCACAGAGCTGCCCCCAGCCGTGGCCCAAGCCAGGCGGGAGGTGCTGGGAGCTGAGTGCAGGCTGAACTGACAGGGATGGGGGACCCGGGCAGCCAGGGGGGATGGAGCTGGGAACGGCGTGTGAGCAGCAGCACTGCAGGAGCAGCACAGCTTCCCTGCCTCTGCCGTGCAGCAAAACTGCCAGGACTGAGGACTGGGTGCACGGCCAGCAGCGAAATAAACGGAGGTGAGGATCAATGCGTTTCAACGGCAGGCAGTCTCCTGCACGAGGGCAGAAATCCCCTGCGTCCAGGGGACCACCGGAGATGCACTTCCTACAGTCACACTCGATACCGTACTAAAGGGCAAAGAGCTCAGGCGGCAGCAAAACGAGCGGTGTATCTACCAGCAAAAACGGGAGGAAAGCCGTTCCGGGAAAGAAAAGCAACGGACTTCTTTCAGACGCTACAGAAAAGCGAAAAAGGGAAGTTCCTCGGGTCTTCCTCCATATCCTTCCGATGGACGCGGCCATTACCGAAGCAGAAAGGCACGGCAGAGGCACGGCCGCCACACGGCCGCCCGCTGGGCCGCGGCCGCCGGAGGAAACGAGCTGCGCCGGAGCTCCGCCGGCCCCGGGCGGGCACTGCCCTGCGGCAGCGCAACTTCGGCTCCGGATGGAAGTTGCGTCCCAGGAGCTTCGGAACAGGGAATTACGCGACGGCTGACAGTAAAGTAATGTAATCGCGCCGTCGCCATGACAACGCGCTGCTCTCTTTCTGTTTAATTCGCTTATTTCGGCGCCCTCCCGTTCCCGGACGGGAGCCCCCCGGCGGGCCGGAGCCGCGAGCCCCGCGGCGGCACCACTCGGTGCCCGGCCCGGGGGGCGGCGGGGCCGCGTCTGCCGGCGGAGCGGCTCGGCCCGGGTAAAGGACGCGAACACGGACGCGAGGAAGAATTCGGCGGCCGCCTCTCCCCGCCACCAGACAAAGGAGCGGCGCTCACAGGGGGGCCCGCGACGGAGCGAACGTTTTTAACCCGCCGCAAACCGCGGGCGCTCCGCGGGCTGCGCGCAGCCGTCCGCAGCCGGGGCCCCGCGCGGCGCCGGGGTTGCGCGGCGGCCGCTGAGACGACGCGGGGGAAGGAGGAGGAGGGGGGGGGAGAAATGGGGGGAGTGGGGGGGGCGGCCCCCGCGCACCGCTCCCACCGCACTCGCTGCCCGGGCGGGGGGCGCGCGCCCATTGGCCGGCGACGCAGCCAATCAATGCCGTTGCCAGGCGACCGGCGCTGCTCCGGGCGGGCGGGGGAGGCCGGCGGCGCGCATACCTCCAATGCTGGCCAGATGTCAGCGGCCCTCCGCCCCGCGCCGGGACGGCAACTTCTGCCCGCGCCCGGCGCGTCGCTCCGGACGGGCCCTCGGCCGCGCGCCGGCAGCCCGAGTCCCGCCCGGGCGGCCCGGAGCGCGGCCCCGCGGTCCGGCCCGGCTGCCGGGTCACGGCGGCGCGCGCGCCAACTCCCGGCCAAGTTGCGGCGGGGCCCCGCGGGCGGCGGCGGCGGCGGCCGGGGCTCACCTGGCGGGGGGCGGCCTCAGCGCGGTCCTTCCATGGCTGCGGCGCAAACTTTCATCTGACGGAGGCGGGCATGGCGCGCCCCGCCTCAGCCCGAGCCCCGAGCGCGCCGCGGGGGTCCCGGCGCGGGGCGCTCCGCCGCCTGCATGGGCTCGGCCGCACCGCCCCCCACCCCGCGCCGCCGGGCAGCGGTCCGCCCGGCGCGAGCCGAAGAGCGAGAAATTGTTTCCACCGCAAACAAAAAAGGCGACACATGACCAGGGAGGAGGGGAGAGAGGGAAAACGTGGGCCGGGCCACCGCGCCGGGAGAGCCGCGGAAGGGAGGGAGGAAAGGAGGGGCGGCCCCAGCGGGGGGGGGGGAGGGCGGGCGGCGCTGCGGGCGGGGGCGGGACGCGGCGGAGCGGCGCGGAGCCTCCGCTCAGCGCCGGGCCGGGGCTGCACCGCGCTACCGGCGGCGGCTGCGCGAGGGGCCGCGGCCCCGGCGGGCGGAGCGGGGCCCGTGCTACGTCTGCCGCGGGCGGCCGTCAGCCGAGCCCCGCCGGGAGCCACGCGGCTGAACCCCGAGCGGCCGGCGGGCGCCGAGCCGCGGGCGCGCCGCTCCTCGTCGGAGCGACACGGCTCTCGGTCCCGTCCCGCAGCGCCGGCGCGCTCCCAGCCGGCGGCCGACTCCTGCGGAGGACGGCGGAGCCTGCGAGCCCCCGGGGCTGCGCCCGTCTGCAAATGCGGCCGGCGCGGCGCCGTGCGGGGCTCCGCGGGCGGCGGTGTCCGGGCTGCGGCCCTGCCCGCGTCCGCCTTGGTACAGCCGCACTTCCGTGTAAAACGAACCGAAGCAGCACAGTTGATTCCCGCAGCCCATAGAACCGTGCTCTAAAATTAGGCCCGATTTCGTCCCGGTGAAGTTATCTTGGCATAACTAGTATCAAACTCGATTAACAAAACCGACCTTAGCACGCCTCTCTTAGACCAAGGGGAGTGACCTAACTTGATCCCAACACGAAAAAGCAGCTGCCCAGCACAGACAGCGCTGCAACCTCCTGTGCACTGGGCATTGGACCTCACAGCTTCTGAGCGTCACAGCACTGAGGCACCTCCAAAACAGGTATCAGAAATTGTACCTGAGCCACAAAATCCAAGCGTTTTCCTCCCTGAGTAAGCGAGGCTTGCAGATTTAGCATACTTGCAAATTAATTTTCCTATCAATACAGAAAAGGCCTGTTGCTGAAATGCACAGTGTGTGTTAGAAGCACAGGAATGTGTACAAAGCCTCACACACAAGTCGTTCCTAAGCGAAGAAGAAAAGCATTTTAGCAATTTTACTTAGAAAAGTCAGGACAGCTGCCACAAAGCCTTACAGGCCCGCACAGTGCTCACCCTGCTTAGTTGGGATCACTGCTACGTTCCACCACATTTCTTTGCCATTTTCTGAGGCATTGGTTACCTTTTTCAATCTCTCTGCCATATGCAAAAATTTTAGACGAGAGACCACTTAGTTCTCAGAGCACAAAGCCAAAATGCATCTCAAGCATTCTCTCAAACAAACCATTCAGCCATTCCTGCCATAACTCACTCAGACCTCCTCTTGCCGACAGCCTCCCCTTCTCCGACCCAGCAAGCTGCTCTTTCACATTCTTGCATATTTGCAGGAGGACCCGCCAGCAGCTGGATTGCAGCACGCAGATAAGAGCTGGGGCAGCAGAGCCACACTGCCAGCAGTGCCCTCTGACCGCCCCAGCACCCAGAGTCAGCAGACCGTCAGCGTGCACAGCTCTTATCTCATGGCCATTTTTGTTTGTAACCCAAACTAAATTAGTAAGCCATCATGCCACTCACCTGAATTTACTCCATATGCTTTGTGAATCAACATGTCTCCTTACCAACTAGCACAGAGATCTGTCACATTTATCTTCACTTGCAAAGTCAAGAGTCTGAGTGTTTGGAGAAGAATTCAGCTAACAAGAAGTGCTGCCAAAGGGAGAAGGGGGAAGACTCATGGGACACAGCATAGTGTAAGAGAGGATATTGCATCTTGAGCAGTACCTTATTATGTACGTATCCTATTCAGGTATACAGCTTACTTCTGCTCAAAATTAATGGCAAAATTCCCCATTATTACTGGTACAATGAGATCAGTTTCACACCTAGGCCTAGGCAAGCCACCAAATTTACTTGGGTACTCATTTCACCATTTCTTACATAGAGGTAATACTAACTCATTTAGCAGAAGATTGGCAACACCGACAGATGAAAACTATTTGTACATCAAGACCAAAGTATATGCAGTACTAAAGGGCAAAAAGAAGTCCCAACAGCAGAGCACTGCACTTTAACCTCATGGGCTAATATACAACAGTCTAATCTTTCCACTCAGATTTCAGAATACCAACTGCAGATGTTTCAGTATCTTATTTAACAAGGATTTCCATCCGTCTCCTTATATTCCTTCATCTCTTATCCTCCCCTAGATTGGAATCCCTGATAACTTGCTACAAGCAATGGTTGCAAAATGAGCACAGCAAGGGTCACGGGGTCCTACCAACCCTGCACAGCTCATCTACCCACTCCATTCCGCATCTCAGCAGTGAACACCGTTTGCTAGTATTACAGCCATGTTACACCGCCTCGCTAAATAGTTCTATTTACTGTCCTGTGACCACACCAGTCTCACTATTCAGTAGACATGCTCCTCTTATCCTCATTTTTAAGTCATTGTTTCTACCCCAATCTCCAACTACAATGTCCTGATTGCCATCCTTGTCAATGCTCATTCTGTCTACACCGCCGTTAAGCTTCCTACCTGAGGCATGCTGCAAGTCTGCTAAGTTTGATCATGAGGATTTATAATTTGACATGTAGCTGTACCAAAACATACTCAGTTCTGAAAGGCTCCCAGCGCATGTGGAACCTAGCAAAGACAGAAGTGGATAGGTAGCTGCTGCCTGTGTTCCTTATAGCCACTGAAATTAGCTTTTCGCCATCGGACATCTCAGGGCTGTAACATCACCCCCCAGCCATCTTCCTTTGTTCCTTTCCTTCTTCCAAGCAAAAGGACTGGCTTCCGTTACCACTCCTGCCATTTCTGAATCTCTGATATCTCTCAGGCAATAGATTTAATCTTGTATGGAGCAGAAGCACACTGAGCATCTTCAGAAACTACTAAGAACTAGAAAATGAATACAGTATGTGTTTGCTTGCATCCTCTTTCACAATTCCCGCTACCAGCGATCTTCTCCCATTACCATTCTGCAGCCCGTGCCCCTTCCTTCACCTACCACTTGGCATTTCCTCCCTTTGTTCATCACAAGCCATTCACATCCATGTTAATACCTCCACCTTCCAGGAGGAGTCAAACCTCCCACCGATGGCATATCAGAGAGAAACTTCATCCAGCCCTAGCAGTTTGAACACTTCTTTCTTTTTGCTCACAGCAGACCAACCTGTGTTGGTTATTTGCAGCTGAATCCCACAGGAAGTCACCCAAGGCAGCACAGCTCTGCTCTCATACCCCAGGGCTGGGACAAGCACAACTCCTCTTGTTGCCCCCATTTCAAGCACTAGCTAACGGCACAAGCTGCACATGCAGTGAAGACTTTACTTCTGCTTACTAACAGAAGATCTATCTTTATTTATTCACGTGGAATCACATTTACAAAGCATTTCCCAATCTTTCATTTAATTATCCCTCAAGTTCTCATTTACTCCTGCTGGAGAAATCCAACAGGAATAGAACTGAATCAGTGGGAAAAGGAGCACCAACATGAAGCTTAGTTAGAAGTGAGAGGAAGCGTATCTACAACACTTCTGTTTCACAGTATAAAACAGAATGAATTTCTTATTACAAAATGCAGAGGCTCTATGAAATAGTTCCTTTTAAAATAAAGTATGCACATTTACAATGTTATTGTAGTAATGCTTACAGCTTCAAAGAAAATGAGTATGCTTAGCACTAAAATTATATACAGCTGACGAGCTTCCAACAAGCATGTTTCTGTACACGAGTGCAGTTGAAGGAGAAGAACATGCATGCTAGTCTGTCCTACACACATTTATTACAATTGGTCCATAAAAAGATGCTTTGCCACTCTAATTACACCAACACACTTTACTAGCAACCGAGGAATAAACTTAGCTTATACTGGTGACAGCACACTTCTGCCACTGCAGCTTATTTTAGCATCCCAGCCAGTGGGAAGCCAAATGTTGCAGGGATAAACACATCAAATGGGAATGTTCAGCTGCAATGGCTTTATTGGTCTGAGATCATACCTAGCGGCCGGTAAATTAATTGCAACATCAGCCCGTACTTCTAGTGTTGTTGCAATGTCTGCAGAAGCTCCGTAAGTAAGAACTAAAGAACTATTTTCTTGGGTTCACTGCACAGACCCTGCTATCTGCTTTACAGGTGCAAAATTTGGTCTGGAGTTATCTCAACATTACTATTTACCATGTGACTGCTTAAGTCAAACATACAGGTAATCAGCAGAATCAGAAATCAACTGCATTTTTTGTTCTTAAAAGCAAGGCAAAGGAAAAGCAACTGCCAACACTGCACAGAGGTGAAGATTACCAGTTTTGGGAAAAACTATAATGGAGAACCAACTTCTTTTATAAAGATCCCAAATTGTATTGCCAATAGAATCCCTGAAACCAATTCTTCTGGACAGCATCTTGTGTCCTGCCCCAGTTCTTCTGAACACAAGCTGTAAACTTCATCACAGATTTCAGGATTACTTACTTATGTACCCACACATGCAAAACTAAGTTCAACCAGGACCTCCCTGACAGCAAAGTTTGTGTTCACATCTCATAAACTGAGGTCCTCAGGAACTGACACAAAAAACAATTTGCTACCACTAGCATTGTAAGCTAGAAGGTGATTGTTTTCCTCTGGCTGTTTGCTTCCATTGGGTGGGTTTTCCAGCTGTGATTGTATTGATTCCCAGCTTGATTTCCAGCTCATTGTACAACAGGATATTCCAGAATGCTTTCCTCTGTTCACCTCTCAGCACTACTCTTCCTGTACATTTCTTGAACACTGTTCTCAAAGGAAATCCTGTGAGATGCAGGTCCAGGTTCCCAGACTGCATCCACGCAAAGACAGCTATGAGAGCCTCTGTTAGGTGATGCA